AACTATGAATTTTTGCAGCAAAGCAACTCATCAACACTTCACCAATAATAAATCAGTTTGCAGGATACTACGTAAGCATTAGTATACTGTTCCAACACAGCTCACCCCCTGCAACCCTGTTCCAACAGTTTTCACCCATGCACCAGTCTTGCAACACTAGTCACATCTGCAACCCCTGCAGCTCTCTTATGACATTGCTCAATTCTGATCCCTTTGCCCCCCCCCCCCCCCCCTGCTGCCTCCAGCAACGCTCACAACTGCATCCCTGCGACCCTTTTCCAAAACGGTTTACCCAACAACTCTCTTCTACTGCTCACCCCTGCCAATGGTCAGACTGTAGTCCTCTTCCAATTTTGATCATTACAGCTTACCTGAAGTTAGAGCAGGACTCCTGTTCCTGCCAGCGGAGGTACCAGGGGCTGCGACGCTAGGGTAGAGCCAAATGGCACGGCTCCAATCCATAGCCTGTCGGTCCAAGTCAAATAATTGGAGAAAGGGCAGGGATGTGCAGAAGTAATATAACTGGTAGGCAAGTGGCGGCTCAGCAGACAGTGGGTGAATAGGATGACCCAGCAGCACAGAAGCTGTAGCCCAGAGACAAACCGCAGTCCAGGGGTTGATAAAAACTACTTTAGTACAAAAAAGTTACTAGTAGGTACACAGACCATAATAAAATTCTATACTTTTTGCTGGTAAGCATGTTTGTATTGATGTATTTAATATGCTGTTAACTGTAGGTGTTTGTTTAGGATGGCAGGATATGTTGTTATACAGAGAACCATAGGTTGTGTGCAGGGATTATACACTGAGCTTGGCTATTTATCCAACATATGACATTTCTACTCAACAGAAATCTTATTGATTATAACAGTGCAGCTTAGCTAACAGCTGATGGACAAAGTCACAGTTAGGTACGTTAAAAACAAAACAAAAAAAAAAAAAGTACAGTAAGCAAGTGAGAACATTCACCTGGATTCAGTACACGGAGGTGTAATTGGTTGGTATAGGACACCACACTTTGCACTGCCTAATTCAGAATTCAACCACCAAGTGAATGACGCAATTCTATTTATCAGAAAAATGCTATTTCAACTAGTCTTACACAATGTTTGTAGAGATTTAACAGCCAATATAATCACCAAAATAACAAGAGACTGTCAGTCTGTGTGTGGTTTGTTTTTATTAAACATTTATATTACATCGTGTTTGTAAAAGATCGATGCAGATTATACTAATGACTTCATTTGAACACATACGTATGTGACAAGGGTGCATCTGCGAGTTTACATACAGTAGGTATAAAAGTGAAAAGTAAAAATGGTACTAAAGCCTCACATTTTTTTTTTCCTCGGAATTAAATCTACACAAGCCAGTTGAGCAGAGTACAATAAATGTTTGCTTCAAGAAAAGTGCAGAAACACAATTTGTGTTGTTCATAAGTGCAACCTCTGGGTTTCTCTGCTCCGCTTCCCTGAACTTCTGACCGGGGAGCATGCTGTCATAACTTTATACAACTGATCCCCCTGCTCCAGACTACTGTACATGTCCCATGATTCCAAGTGTCATTGCGCATGCGTGCCCTGTCTGACTATGTGTGCATTTTAGTGCAGGCGGAGTCATAAAGTAGGCTTGAGGTTTACACTATATTGTCAAAACATGAACTTTAATGGTTTCCCAGTCTTTGTCCGTAGAGTTAAATATTGAGGTGGCCCACCCTTTCCCGCTGTAACAGCTTGAACTCTTCTGGGAAGACTGTCCACAAGGTTTAGGAGTGTGTCTATGGGATCGTTTGACCATTCTTCCAGAAGAAAAGGCCTGACTTGCAGACTCTGCTCTAATTCATCCCAAAGGTGTTCTATCGGGTTGAGGTTAGGACTCTGTGCAGGCCAGTCAAGTTCCTCCACCCCAAACTCGCTCATCCATGTATTTATAGACCTTGCTTTGTGCAGTCGTGTATAGTCATGTTGGAACAGGAAGGGGTCATACCCAAACTGTTCCCACAAAGTTGGGAACAAGAAATTGTCCAAAATATCTTGGTATACTGGCGCCTTAAAAGTTCCCTTCACTGGAACCCTGGAAGGGGCCAAACCCAACCCCTAAAAAACAACCCCACACCATAATTCCCCCTCCACCAAACTTTACACTTGGCACAATGCAGTCAGGCAAGTACCATTCTTCTGGCAACCGCCAAAACCCAGACATGTCCATTTGATTGCCAGACAGAGAAGCGTGATTCGTAACTTTAGAGAACACGTCTCCACTGCTCTAGAGTCCAGTGGCAGCGTGCTTTACACCATTGCATCCTACGCACTGCATTGCACTTGGTGATGTAAAGCTTGCACGACCATGGAAACCCATTCCATGAAGCTCTCTATGCATTGTTGTTGTGCTAATCTGAAAGCTACACAGAGTCTGGAGGTCTTTAGCTATTGACTCTGCAGTTGGCTACTTCTGCACACTGTGAGCTTCAGCATGCACTGACCTCGCTCTGTCATTTTATCTGGCCTACCACAGCAACTGTTGGACCACCTCAACTAAGCAAGGTACATTTTTTTTATGTAGAAGCAGTACAGTTAAGTACACAGGACAGCTGCTATAATTGTTAAATATTTTAAGGTTTTAGAACACTTTAAGGATTTATTTTCCGTAGCAATCTGTATTCCTAATCTATGCCTTACATGAAAGCTGAAGCTTTATCGGTTTACTCTATATTTCCCGATTCCTCTTGTGCCCCCTCATCAATGGGCTAATGACATTTTTAGATGTAACCCTTTATTTTTTTCCATTACACACCTTATTTCTGATACAGTAATGTCACCACTGATTCTCTGTGCTTCCCTATGCAAAGCAAGCCAATTTTGGTTGGTGGGAGAGACCAGCATGGTGCTGTACATAGTTTCTGAAAACCATTACTGCCCCTGCTTTAATACTTCTCTCACGAACCCTCAGCTCTAATGCAAGCAGTGGTCTGGCTCTTGGGAGGAGTTATGCACATATCAAAATAATGCCTTCAAATCTGGTGTCATGCTCGAGATGTGGGGGTTCCTAGGCAGCCTGCATTTTCAAGCAGACTGTTCTAAGTAACATTCACATACAATGCTGAGGCCCCACGACTGAAAGAACTAAAATCATATAAATTAAAGAGGTGGGCCAAGGAGAGTAAGATGGGAGAGGGAAGAGGTAGATAATGCTAGGCATCCTGCAGCAAAGAAATGAGGTAAGTGGACTTGCTGAAGCTAATAGGAAGTTCCAGATTAGACTTTTTTAGCATTACGGGAAAAGAGCCTGTACAACTGTGCAAGACTGGAGAGAAGGCTAGAATGATCGCTCTGCACTGAACGTTTTTGATATATCTGGCACAAAATGTCATTCCTGATCTGGCTAATGGTCCCTGTAGGCTGTAGAATGGCAATATAATGGTAGAGACATTATACCAGAGCTTAGAGCAGTGGTCTCCAAACTGCGGCACAGGGGCCAGATGTGGTCCTTTGCCTACCTTTTATCCAGCCCTTGGGGCACTATTTTTCTCCACCAATACCAACAATGGGGCATGATACCCCCCCCCCCCCCCCCCCACTGACACCATTAAAGGAGCAGAATAACTCCCAATGACAGGTCACAATTCCTTCCAATGACACCAATGTTGGGGCACAATTCCTCCCAATGATAGCAACAATGGGGCCCAATGACAGTAACAATGGTGCGCTATTCCTCCCAGTGATACCAAACATGTGGCATTGTTTGTTCTGCGGAAGTCAGGACCCTTTCTACTCCCAATAGTCTGGCCCCCCTTAGTTCTGAAGGATAGTAAATTGGCCCATTGTTTAGCAAGTTTGGAGACCCCTGGCTTAGAGTATACAAATGAGATGAAACCTTTCAGCAACAGCAGCACCTCTTTTCATTTTCCTCTTTTTGTTGATGCTGCATGCTATCGTGTTTTCCAGAGAAAAACTTCTCCCAGTTTCAAGTGACTACACATTACCAACTTAAGCTTGGTAGCAATCTCTCCAGCTAGATTACATCTTTTGAATAAAAAAGACAGTAAAATCACGTGACCTCATTTTAAACGATCATTTGCTAATACTTTAACAATAAGTACATTTTTTTAATGCATGTATTGAGCGATTTTGTTTAATTGAACTACACTGCTGCCTTGGGTTCAAGGAGAAAAGTATTATAGGTAGAGTATTTTTTCTAATTTAGGCTAAGAAAAAAATTATCTCAATTCCACTCCAGCCAATGGTAATCAGGATAGAGTAATTCAATTTAAATGGACTGCTAGCAGTTCAGCTAGTATTCGAAAGATTAACTGCAAAAAGTAGGACTAGCCTGTACTGTTTACAGAGGCCTGGATCCTTTCCTGGTGAGGGCATTACATATACTTAACCACTTCCAGTCCAGACACTTTTACCCCCTTCCTGACCAGGGCAATTTTCAGCTTTCAGCGCTATCACACTTTGAATGACAATTACGCGGTCATGCAACACTGTACCCATATGAATTTTTTACCATTTTTTTTGAGACAGATAACATTTTATTTTGGTGGTATTTATTCACCGCTGGGATTTTTATTTTTTTTGCTATGTAAAATGAAAAAGTCCAAAAATTTTGAAAAAAAGTTATTTATTTTTCAAATAAATAATATTTCATCATAAATCTTGGCCAAAATTTATTCCATTATCTTTTTAGTAAAAAAAAAAAAAAAAAAAATAAGCCAAATTAGTTTATAACCAAAAATGATCATTTTTAAACTTTTTTTTACATTTGTATATATATTTTTTTTTTTTTTTTACATACGGTCACCCTAGCAGTAAAGTGTCACCATGATGACACTGTACTACTTTTGGGGGGGTAATGATTTTTTTTTTTTTTACACTCATATAGGATGTAAAAGCAATCATTTCTCTTTCTCTCTGTCTGCATTCTTGCAGCCATTGAGAACTACTGAGTGAGCTGTGATTGGTCACAGCTTGTCATATGGTACAAGGCTGTTGTGAATAGCCTTGTACCATGTGACCTCTTGGATCATTCACAGATTTCACACGTAGTAAGCAATGATGTCACAAGTGACGTCTTGCTTACTACTTTGCATGTGATCAGGACCTCGTACAGAGGTCCCGTCCGATGACCGGTGTTTCACTGTGTCCGGAGGACACAGTGGACACCGGATCGCGGTGCTGCGCACTCCCAGGGAGCGCGCACAAGCAGGGTGCGGGGAGGCAGTTTATAAAAGGCCACCCGACCCTGCAGTGCCACCGTCCAGCTGTTTATATACAACGGCCAGGGAGGTGGTTAAACAATTATTCATTTAGAACAAGGGTCTCCAAACTATGGCCTTCCAGGTGTTGAGGAACTGCAAGGCCCATGAGGCCTTGCAAGACTCTGACAGTCACAGGCAAGACTCCCAGAGGCATGATGGGACTTGTAGTACTTCAACAGCTGGAGGGCAATAGTTTGGAGACTCCTGTTCTAAATGAATAAATTGTTTAAGTATATGTACTGCCCTCTCACCAGGAAAGGATCCAGGCCTCTGTAAATAGTGCAGGCTAGTCCCACTTTTTGCAGTTAATCTTTCGAATACTAGCTAAACTGATTTAGAGTGACTGAACAAATGAAGCTTATGAGCATATATCAACAACATGCACTAGTGCAGTTCCCATTCGAAGATGGGCAAATATCTCATTGCCCACCATTCTTGGGAAAACATCTGTCTCTAGGTGGTCTTATGGTATTATTTCCCTGGTATCTCTTTAGCAAGTACAGTAAATGCTTGAAGTTTAAATATAGTATAAGATTTTTGTGTACTGTCGAGTTGTTTCCCTACATGTGATTTGCAAATAATTGAAATGAAAAAAAAAAAAAAAAAAAAAACTTGGAACTGACTGTGGAGCCTTTAGAGCACACACACAAGAATTATGGGGGAAAAAAAAAAAAACTGTAAATTAAGACTTCAGACCAATGTATTATTTCTTGGCCTGAGTTCCATCCTTCATCCTCCTAGTCTCCTTTCCAAAACTACACAAAGCCATTTATTTATCCAATAGCCAGCGCTTGTCCATGTTTCATGAAGTACAGCCAAATCTAAATGGCACAAAATATTAGAGAACAAAGCACGTCAGCGACTTTAAAAGATCTCTGTGACAGTACTACTGCAGGAAAAAGAGACCTAAGGCACGGAAGGGTTCACTGAAAAATGTGGAGCACTGCTTGAGAGTTAGATTGCAGTTTCCACAAACACAAACTTCTAAATGACAAGTAAAATCTAGATAAATTAGCCAGGGTCTTGAATTATCACATTAAAAAATACCATATTTAAGCTTCATATAATTACATGCCAGGGCTGCTAGAGCTACCATCTGGTCCATAAGATTCCTGTATTTTTGGCCATACACTATCCTTGTTTTACATACTGAGAGTGCCAACAACCTTGTTTTATTTTCCTATTGCTATTTTTGAATACCTAAAAAGTGGAAGATCATAATAATTGCAAGTGTTCTTAAAAATTCTGCCTCTTCAGCCTACTACCTATGCTGCATATCCGATATAATAAAAAAAAAAAAAAAAAAAGATATACACAGATCTTTTTTTTTATACAAGCTATGCAGAATAGGTGGTAGGAATGGGATGCAGCTTTTTTAAGAATTCTTTTAATTAGCCTTTACGCCCACTTTATTGAAGCAGCATCACAACAACATAAAAATCCTTGCTTAATCTTCCAGGGGACCAAGTGTATCCTGGTCTGATTTGTGACCACATTGTGCAAAAAAAGCACATTTCTTTTATGTATATCCTGGATGTAGCTCCACCCCAGGCTGAATTCCAATTTATGGGTGTTCCGGAACTACAGCACAGCACTCTAGCCACTACCCCCTCTCTCACTAAAAAGGATCATGCAGAGTGTTCAAGCTTGCCAAATCAGCTAATTGTATAACCTCACCTGCTGCACCTTACACAGAGATAAAGGGAATGCAGTCTATCACAGTATTTGTTTTCTAGCAGCTGGTTGATCATGGCAGTTTCTAAGTTTCCCCCTGGTGTCCTCAGTTGCCTGGACGCACCTCGGGAAAGTTTTGCAAACTATCCTGACACAGTCAGTACAGCATATGTTTACTAGCTGCCAGCCAATCACACAACTCCACCAGCGCTGACTATGCAACTTCCCCAGCCAAAGACAAGGAGGAAGCATTAGATATTATTCTGCCAGTCAGCACAGTGTATGTTTACTAGCAGCCAGCTGAAAAAACAGTCCTGACAGCACTGACTGATGCCCTGAATGATGGCACTGGTCTCCAACATGTTCCTGGCGCCAGAAACAAGCACTGTCAGTCACATCTCATTAAATATTTGTAACTGCTTTTTTAAAAGAAAACCTGTGCTAATCAATAATGCAAATTACAGTACACATCGGTGGGAGTATTCTCCCCATACCAACATGACAATGCTGGGCCAAAAACCAAAGCATAAGCAATGTCAGCTGGGGAGTTTCTTTGCACCTGGCAGGCTAAACTAAGCAGCTGGGTGGGAAAATAGGTTAATATATGCTTCTTAGGAGAGGGCCATTAACTCAAACCCTTTTTTTGCTCTGCAACTGCAAAACACAGGTTCACTTTAAAACAAACATTAGCAACTGTGAGCAACAGCATTTCTGTTTGCTAAAGCGGAACTACACTCTCTCAATCAACATTGGCTATTTGTAATCCTTATGCTGCTAGCATTAGTAAATGGATAGGAAAATATATCATATATGAGCAGGGCCCTCCTTTCCCTCTTGTATTGAACTGTATTGACAACATAAAAGTGCAGCGCTACAAACAATATCTTTATAACAATTATGTGAAATAACACATGAGAAAAGATAATTGTCCAATGTAATAATATCAGATGTGGTAAGCAGTTCAATTATGAAAAAACTTCCAAAAACGTTGGTGTAATCCAATCCAATATCGAGGGATAGATAGATTGCCCACTTACCAGAAGCGCAATCTCAGTGCGCATGTACAGGTCACATGTAGCTGAGGTCTCATGCAGGCGCTGCTTGGTGGTACCCGGGTGGTCCCTCAATGATAAGTAGATATTGGTCTGGTCGGATCACACTGCTCCTTAGATCCACGCAGAAGCCTAAAAAGCTGGGGCTGAGATATGAGGACTCAGTGCCAGATATAAGAAGTAAAAGTACTCATAGTGTAGTATTTTAAATAAAAAAATTTATTAAATCCAATGTGAAAAAATCAAATAAGGATTACAAAGCACATGCCTGCAGCCTGTAGCCAGTAGAAGAGGCTGTAAAAAACATCTAAAACACTGACCAGTGAAAATCAAGGGTTGGCCGCCGGACCTCCTGATCCGGCGGCGTGACGTCAAGGCGTGGCAAGGCTCCTCCTAGACGCGTTTCGTGTCAATACACGTCTACAGTAGGGGTGATGCCATGCATGCCTGACATCTGTATGATCCTTTATATGTTCAAAAATCGTGCCAAAATGCGCTGGCGCCGTCTTGCTAAAGATCGGCGCAACTGCGCATGCGCCATTTTTCTGGTGATAAAAAGTGACTCCTTATCACCAGAAAAATGGCGCATGCGCAGTTGCGCCGATCCTTAGCAAGACGGCGCCAGCGCATTTTGGCGCGGTTTTTGAACATATAAAGGAGCATACAGACGTCAGGCATGCATGGCATCACCCCTACTGTAGACGTGTATTGACACGAAACGCGTCTAGGAGGAGCCTTGGCACGCCTTGACGTCACGCCGCCGGATCAGGAGGTCCGGCGGCCAACCCTTGATTTTCACTGGTCAGTGTTTTAGATGTTTTTTACAGCCTCTTCTACTGGCTACAGGCTGCAGGCATGTGCTTTGTAATCCTTATTTGATTTTTTCACATTGGATTTAATAAATTTTTATTTAAAATACTACACTATGAGTACTTTTACTTCTTATATCTGGCACTGAGTCCTCATACCTCAGCCCCAGCTTTTTAGGCTTCTGCGTGGATCTAAGGAGCAGTGTGATCCGACCAGACCAATATCTACTTATCATTGAGGGACCACCCGGGTACCACCAAGCAGCGCCTGCATGAGACCTCGGCTACATGTGACCTGTACATGTGCATTGAGATTGCGCTTCTGGTAAGTGGGCAATCTATCTATCCCTCGATATTGGATTACACCAACTTTTTGGAAGTTTTTTCATAATTGAACTGCTTACCACATCTGATATTATTACATTGGACAATTATCTTTTCTCATGACTTATTTCACATAATTGTTATAAAGATACAGTTTGTAGCGCTGCACTTTTATTTTGTCAATTTCAGTTGGAAAGGTTTTGTGGTTCCTTTTAGTGCATTTGCTGCTCACTGGAGTGCGCTCACTAACTTATCTACATACATATTGAACTGTATTGTTGCTGTACTGTCTCCAGTTATTTTGTAAAGCGCTGAGCAAACTGTTGGCGCTATATAAATCCTGTATAATAATATTTACTTACTTAATTTTTATTTTTTTTTTTTTTACATTTCTTCGGGTACTTCCTGGTTTCCATGTCTAGGCATATGATATCATACATCCCAGGAGTCTTCAGGAGGGGAGATGGATTCCAGGAAGTAAATGTAACATGAATCATCTGCCCTTACTCAAGATCATTATGGCCAGAAATGCTAGGGGGTGTTTTTCAAAGTGATTTCTCAGTAAAATAAAGCCTGGAGACAGGGATGGATGAAGGAGTTTGGTTTGAATATTAAGAACTAATTAAAGTAGAGTTTTTGGTTAGTAGAACTCAGATGCAGTGTAGTTACACTTAAAAGTCCCTGCAATGTACATAGATCACCCAGAGGGGAATGCTCTTTTCCTCAACAAAAGTGGAGTTATTCTTTATCATCATACAGTGGGTGGGGCCAAAACATAATTTTTATAATAATTTTACTTTACTAAGCTGACTGTACAATTTACTTAATATTTAACAATTTATGTAAAAGCAAGGCTCGACAAATCCCAGGTGCCATGTTACCATGGCAACTAGAAATTGCATCCTGGCGCTTGGGTCACACACTACCTCCCACTGACTTCAATGCAAAATCGCAACCCAATGATTTGAATGTAAAAACATCTCCCATTGACTCCTGTCCAGCAATCCTATGTGAACACTTATTTCCAAATGCCACTCTATCACTTGCGAGTCTGGCATGCACCGCTAAAAACTCGTACAGGACCCTTTTCATACTAGCACCCCAAACACAATGCGTGTGGATCGCATCTGTGTGAACCACCTCAATAGGAACACATATCTAACCGGTCATGTGAAT